ATATATTTTTGCAAGTCTAGCACTTAAAACGAAAATGGTTTTCCACCGACCAAAAACGAAGGAACAAAAAAAAAAAAAAAAACAAAAAAACAAAAATTCAGAAAAAAAAAACTAGACAGAACGTTGCAGTTGGGCGTAATTGACTGCATAATACTCGTTCAGGATATTCAAAATCTATATTTTCATTTCAAAGAGTGTTTTAGGATGATCCTAAATCTAAAGGAGAGTTTATTAAAGGAGCTTAACTTTTTTTCTATCTTGGGAAGATTAACTCTAAGCTGTAATTGATATTGTTTTCTTTACTCAAAGTGATTTGACCACAATATCGCATAAGAATACCGTCTCGCTCAGACAGACAGTTAGCAAGACAAACATTGCTTAAAAGGCAATATACTCTTTTCACTAATTGAAGGAGAGGCGCCGAGTACAATGCGCTTTTTGGGGGCTGCGAGTGAATGGAATTGGATTGGTTTACATATACAAGTAGATATATGCGTCTTGCATACTCACACATACAGAGACGCACACAGGCACATACACACACACRCACGCAGAACGTGGATAATGTATAAAACGAGGCGCCGAAAGACATTATTCACATTGCTAAGAGTGTGTGTGTGTGTGCGAGTGTGTGTTAGTGTGAGTTCGTGGAGTTCTGATCCTACAGTTGAGAGAAATTTTCACTCGTTCGTGTAATGCGATGCCAAAATAAAAAAAAAAAAAAAAAAACAGTTTTACTCAACAGTTTCTCAAGTGCTGCGCCTCAGCAGATCTCTAAACGGACTTTATCAGCTGTCACAGGTTTTATCACAGTGCAGCCACTTGACATTGGGCTCGATATAGAGCGAGCGAGAGAGAGAGAGAGAGAGAGACAGAGAGAGACAAAGAGGAAGGGGATAAGTGCGGGAGAAAGCAGATGTATGGGGAGTAAAATAGATTTTAGGTCAGTCGATGTTACAAATCTCAACTTACTTGCAATATAACTGATTTATTTCCAATAATAATCTGCAGCTGCCGCCATGAAAGCAATAATTCTCATCACATGGTTTTCCCTGGTTGTGATAATCCGATCGAAATGGAACTATAAGAGAATATATGAATATGAATATGAATATGAATATGAATATATAGATATAGATATAGATATGTAATCAGAATTGAGTCATCCACTCTGTTGCTTTACAAGACAACATGCATGGTTTGTCGCCTTCGAATGTGGCCATAAATTAGAAATGAATTGGAGCGCCAGCCAAAACATGACAGACGCACATCAAAAAGCCAGAAAGATCGACAGAAAGAGAGAGCGAGAGAGAGAGAGAGAGTGTGTGATAGGCTGTTGAAGGTCTTACCTGGATGGGCATTGATCATGATGCGTCGCTTGTCGATCGTATTGCTAACTTTGTTCTTGGCACGGCATTCGTATTTCCCCGCATGGATGGAGCTGTTAAAGTGGGGCACAATCAGCTGGGAACGTCTTCTGCAAGGCAAACGAAAGATCGAAAGACACATATATAGAGAATTATTTAACACGCACACACACACACATTCGACAGAATTGTGGCTCACTTGTGATGCTTGAATTTATAAACTTGGTGTTTGCCATTTATTGACTTGTCGTCCTTGAACCAGGTCACCTTCGGGGGCGGCTGGCCCTCCACTTTGCATGTGATGCGCAGCTTCGCGTTGTTAGCTATTGTCGCATTATTTGGCTCAGTTGTTATCGATATGATCGATGCGTTCTGTGCTGTAAGAACAACAAAAAAACCCATAACAAGTTTAAACATAATTCTTTGAATTTTACCCAATATTTAGTTTATATTTAGCTATAGGGAGAAAGAGAGAGATGTCTAGTGAACGTATCTTAAATTCTAATTAATTCGAGATTGTTTATGCGAAAAAAGTTGAAAATCGTTTGTGCCGAGCCGCCATAAACAACATATCGTCTTAGAAATTAATGAAATTCTTTTTCCACTCTTTGCTTTTTATAAGTTCTTTTTATTTGCATTTTATGGACGTCGCGTCTGCACAAATTGTTCAACATTTTGTTGTTAAACGTAAGTTGTTTATGATGAACTTTGCGATCGTAAATATCAGAATATGACGTGAAATCATTTTCAAGGACTTACCACATGCACTAGATATACATAAATATATGATGTATATAATTTGAGTTTAGTATGGGGTAGTACTACACAAGTGTGTATAGGGATATTGAAAGAATATTTTCATATAGGCAAGGCTCGAGTGGGATATGCAGATAAGAAGTATAATAGAAGATATTAAAATAATCTTATTGTATGATTTATTTAAGAGTTCTTTTGTATTGATTAATGATAGTAAATATTTTATTATATAACTGATTTACTATATATACATAAATATATATATTCATTGAAATATATAATATATAGTTGAAATTGTTTCTTTTCAGAATCATTTATTCGCTGCACGTGCTCGTTGCATTGTTAGCTCATACAATTGATGTATGCATGTATATGTTTTAGCATTCGATTTATATTTAAGTTTTGCCTAATTAACGCATGTTGCACAAATCAGCCAATTGCAGATGGGCCAATCGTTCAGTCGGGGAGCGATTGCCAAAAAGTCTCCCTCGCACTCTGCCGACGCTGAGTCATAAGTGTCGACAATTTGGCAATGAAACTGTTGGCCCACTTGCCACGCCCACAATACAATGTGACAGCAAATTGGCTTTACTTAAATTAGCCGGCATCTCACGTGTCTGGGCGAAAGGGCGGGGGCGGGGGCGTGTCTGAAGGGGCGTGCATCACATGATAATTGCGTATTGCGTGAATGAATGAATCATTTGMACAACCAAAAAGAGAGACAGGGAGGGAGTCAGATTGAAGTGAGAGCGAGAAAGAGAAAGAGAGAGACAATTGGTCAATTACCAAGTATTTTCTAACAACAATTTTCTATTTTCTATTCTCAATTCTGAATTCTTTTTTTAAATGCATTTTTTAAGCATTGCATGAGAACAGAATTTCTTATTTATTTTATTTTTTGCATGATTATGCAACTCACGCGAATTTTTCCAGCTAAATGAATAATCATAATGATAATTATAAAGAGAGAGAGAGAGAGAGAGAGAGAGAGAGAGACGTCTGAATATGTACGTATATACACATATAGATATATGCTTTCTACTATATATACGATATATAATATCTGCTTAAATCACTGAGCTCTATTTATATATTCAACGAGAATTTTGATTTGATTTAATGCTAAGCGAATGTTAATTTATGCGTCTCTCGCGTGGCTCGCTTGAAAGGAAAATGCTGCTAAATATTAATTCTATAAAATGTTGTTATATATTTAAACATAATTTATTGTTTATAATTTATGAATTTTTAGCGTATTTTTTGTTGTGGCCAATGCGACGGCCCATAAAACCGCATTTTAATTGTGCGCGTCACTTTCTCACGCTCCCAAATCGGTTGGCGGCGGCTCTCTACTCTACTCGTCTCTATGCCCGTCCCTCTCGCGCGCTCCCTCCCTCCAGCAGACGCTGTCTCTTTCGCGCTGAGCTGTGAAGGAGCTACATGCCGAATAATTCGACAGAGAAAAAAGCAACTCACAAATGGCTATGGACAGAAGGCGATTAAGAATTGAAGGCAGCACGCAAACAAGTTGACAATTGTCATGCCCAAAAGTACCCCGCCTCATCGAAAAGGGGGCGGAGCGGGGATGGGCAGTGGGAGGGGAGCGACTGCCCCCTCTTCGGCACGCAGTTGCCGGTCGAAGCCTTTTCAAGTTTTTTTTTGCTTTGATTCACACACATATATATATTTTGATATTTATTAATATTTTTTCTTCATAATTTTTTTTTTTTTTTTTTTTTTTTTTTTTTTTTTTTTTTTTGTGTATTTATTTTGGCATATCATTTCAGTTCTTTGTTATTATGTCTTAATTATGCGCTTAAAAGATGATTATCGAAGTGCTTTGGCGGTTGAGTATGCCATGATATGGGGGCAATCCATTGTGGAATACACTGAGAAAGCTAGTTAAAAGTCAAGCAACTCGAAGAGAGGCCGTGCAACCTGATATGAATATAAAATACATATAAAGCTGTTTAATACCTTTCTCTAGTTGTAAACTCTTAAAAATTAGTTTTACTCAAATTCAAAGTTCTGTATTTCAAATTGCTATAATTTTTAACTGCACGTCAAATCTATGAGAACCACAGAGAGAGGCCATGAAACTTGATATGAATATTAAACAGTTCATTTCGAAGTGTCGATTGCTTCTATTGCTAACAACTGTTAACTGCCTGTGAATTGTAGCCTGAGATTTGCAAAGAGAGGCCCTGAAATTGGATATGCGTGCAATTATTATTATTTTGTTTTAAATTATTTTGCTGGCAGAGCTCATTGGCCTCTTAGGAAGATGCTGCTGGGTTGTTTTTTGGCTGTCTGTGCGTCAACACTACGTCAAAGCCGCAGCTGCTGTCGCGCCGCGCTTCCGGAAAAGTCTGGCATAACAACTGCGACAACTAGGAATCGAAAATAAACGGAGAGGAAACGCTGCCAAAGCAGACGCAGGAAAACTGTCGTCGTTTTGGCTGCTGCCTGTCGACGATTTTAGCACACAGGAGATGGCGGCGACGTACTCGCATTAAAATAACTTTTCACAAATATGTATATATGTATATGCTCATACATATATATATATGTATATATGTAAGTGTGCATATGAAACATAATAATTTTTCACGTTTGTTTGTTTTTGCTCAACTCAAGTTTTTGTGCGCTTTTCCTTCAAGCGTGACGCCTCAATGATTCATGCAAATCCATCAAAAAGGAACAGACCGAGAGAGCGAGAGAGAGACAGAGAGACAAAGAGAGAGAGAGACTGTGGGCGACTGAGGGAGATAGACAATGGCGACAACATGTGGTTTTAGCAATGGACCGGTGCCAGCAGAGAGGTAGGGTGACTGCGAATCGTTACGTTTATTAAGATTTTATTGAATTAATAAGCAAATTGCATGCGACACGCTGAGTGGCGCCATCTGTCGTCCAAATTGCATTCAATTTGCATACACGAATGTACTTACTATGTATGTATGTATGTATATGTTTGTATACTACTATATCATTGTTCTCAGTGAGCTTAAATTCCCAAAGATTTCACTTAAGCCAAATTAATGAAATGTGCAATGTGAAATGTTACTTATTTTTATTTTATTTTTTTAGCTCTTAAAAATATGAATTTCGAATTTCGTTGTCGTGCGCTGAAAGACATTTTATTTTGGCAGCCCCTCTCCTACTCGCACTCTCTCTTTCTGTCTGTCTCTCTCTTTCTTTATGTTTGACCCACATTCGTTGGCAACAGCAAACGGAAGTTTTTCTTGTTGTTCTCCAACATTTTACGTTGTTTTTCCAAAAAGTAGATGAAAAACGAAAACTTTGCCCGTTCTTCTGCATTTTCTTAATGTATATCTACATATTTATATTTATATTTTTGTCAACTTTTGGC